ACACACACACACACACACACATATATATTATATATATTTAGATAGATAGATAATCTCTCCTTTTCCTTGCACTTCCCTGCACTGGGACTAGTATATTTATATTTATATATATATATGTATTTTCCCACGTCATTATAGTTGTGCTTTTTATAGTTGTGCAGACTTTTTAAGTCTGACTCACAGACGAACACAATACAGAAGCCTGATGATGGCAGATGAGATTCTGCCGAAACGTTGCTACAATTTTAAAAGCACAACTATAATGACGTGGGAAAATACCCGAACAAAGCTGAATAACACACACACACACACACATATATATATATATACACACACACACACACACACACATATATATATATATATATATATATATGCACACACACACACACACACACACAAAGGAGCTAGCTAAATGTATTGAAGACCGACTTAGCTTCACAGCAGAGAGTGAAACTTAAAAGAGAAAAATTGAAGTACCAAAACAAAGATGGTGGTTATTTTTCAAGATGCCTCTAGGTTCCAGTTGTGCTCTCAGAAGTCTCCCAGCCATGAGCTGTCTCCAAAACTAATTACTTTCTCTGTGCTTCCATCTTCAAAGTGGAGTTAGCAAAGTTAGCAAGGCACTGAGTGGCACAAAGATGGTGATACTGCCTCTCTATGGCTGTACCATTTAGGCAGAGACATTTCTGCTGTGTTCTTTTGTAAACTTCAGCAATATGTAGGATTTTTAGGGCCTTCCCAGGGCTGAGATAAAGGCATTCTCTACTCATCCTTTAGTCACTACAACTATCCCAACAAGTAATTTACTTTTCCTATTGCTGATCTCTACCCCACCTGTTTCAAGTCACTGCAGTCACCTGACTTCCCTCCAGGGTAATGGATGACAAATGACTTTTCCTCCCAACTCGGTTAAAGTGCTATTTGCTTGTCCTTCAGCCATCAGAGAGCTTACCAGCCCAAAATCTCCTATTCCCATTCCAGATCCCTTTCCTGTCGCTTTAGTCTGTGTCCTGGCTTGTTGCCAGAGAATGTTGTCCAAGTGTGTAAGGCATATTAAGTAAAACTACTGGCTAACCTTGCATTCCTGTTTTTTCTTAATATGACTAGCTGAAAAGAAACCATCAAAACTTTTACCAACTTGATTGAGCCAATCTGCTTCTGGAGCCCTAGTAGACAACCACTTAAATATGAACCAGCAGTGTACTGCAGCTGACAAAAAAGCCAATGCAATCTTAGGCTGCATTAACAGAGAGATAGAATCAAAATCACATGAAGTGTTAGTACTACTTTATAATGCCTTGGTAAGATCACATTTTGAATATGGCATCCAGTTTCGGTCTCCACAATATAAAAATGATGTTGAGACTCAAAAGAGCATAGAGAAGAGCAACAAAGATGATTGGAGGCTCAAGGCTAAAATTGGTTATGTCTAATGAAAAGAAGGACTAGAGACAACGTGATAACAGTACTCCAATATTTGAGGGGCAGCCACAAAAAAGAGGGGGTCGACCTATTTTCCAAAGCAATTGATGGAAGCTAATCAAGGAGAGAAGCAACCTAGAATTAAGAAATTTCTTGATAGAACAATTAACCAGTGGAATGGGTTGCCTTCAGAAGTTGTGGGTGCTCCATCACTGGAGGTTTTTAAGAAGAGATTGGACAGCCGTTTGTCTGAAATGGTATAGGGTCTCTTGCTTGAACAAGGGGTTGGGCTAGAAGACCTCCAAGGTCCCTTCCAACTCTGTTATTCTGTTTAATGACCATTCAAAATTATGATGGTGCTGAAAAAAGTGACTTGAAACTGGTCCTAACAATCATCACAATGCCCCTGAAGTCATGTGATCAAAATTTGAACACTTCGCAACTGGCAAGTATCTACAATGGTTGCAACATCCTGGGCCCATAGGATTGCTGTTTACAATTTTCCCAGTGGTGCTTCCAATAAACAGTCAATGGAAGAAACTAGGTTCACTAAATGATCAGATGGTTCGGTTAACATCTGCAGCAAAAAGAGTTGTAAAATTGGGTTCAATTCACTTAATGACTTCATTGCTTAGCAATAGAATTTTCTATCCCAATGTTGGTAGTAAGTCAAGGACTGAGAGCCCAGAATTATAGTCGTAAGTCATGGCAGTCATTAACTATGTCACCACGCCTGGTCTAATGACCTTTTTTGCAGTGAACATTAAGTGACCACTATGGTCATCAACAAAATGCCATCGTTGTTAGCAAACCCATTTTCCCCAATTTGCTTTTTTTTTAAACTGAAAACCTGAAGTAAATACCAGAAACTAGCAAAAAATTGCAGTCGGATGTCCATGGAATGCTGCAAACAGACATAAATCTGAGTCTTGCACAAGTTTGCTGTCACAATTTAATTGTAGAACACAGAATTCCTTTGGCGTTGCTGTGGTGCGACTTGAGTAGGTGCATCACTTGACAGGAATTCCCTCTCAGTCTGCAATGCACCCCTGCCAAGTAACCTTGATGCTGTGTTTAAGTGAGGCAGAGATTTTGTGCCTTGTTCCTGTCATTAAGTGAATGACTTGCACTGACAGTCAACCTGGTCCAGACCCAGAACCTCCTATATACGACACACCACCTCTCCAAAACAGATTGAATTTGCTTCTTTCCTCTCTCCAAAGTAGGTTTAAATTGTATCAGTTGAGTTTCAGGCTGCACAAGGTCTATGATCATTGTTAACTCTATAAAGTTTCCATGTTTAAATTATTATATCCGGAGAAGAAGAAAATGGGAATGAAAGAAAGGGAGCATTCTAAATGCTTTTTGAATAAGGCTTTTCTTTTCTCATTTCTTTCTTTTATTATAATATCAAATAACAAAGAGAAAGAACGAGTGGGAATAATGATAATACTTATAAAATATGTATTGCAGTTATTAGTGACCAGTGAGTTTATATTATAATCTGTCAGTGTGTTTGGTGTAGTGGTTAAGGTGTCAGACTAGAAATCAGGAGACCATGATTTCTAGTTTTGCCTTAGCTACAAAGCCAGCTGGGTGACCTGGGGCCTGTCACTTCTGTCACCTCTAGGAAGAAAGAACTACTGAAAAAAGCTGCCAAGGAAAGTGAAGGGGGCAATTGCCAGGAGCTCAAAATGACATGAAAGCACAACTTCCAAGCGTGTATCTGACTGACATAATAGTATATATGTTGTAGTATATATACTATAGTTTCAGAAAGAAATACATAAATAGCATGTATGTATTTTTAATTTACTCATACTCTTGTATTGTGACGCACGATTTTATATTTAGTCTGGGAAAAGCTGCACAAAACTTTTTTTTTTTCCACATGAGGCACGTCAGAAATTAGAGGGAACATTGCAGGGAAGTGATCAGTGGGAGTAGGAGGTTGAAGAGGTGGTTTGTGCAAAAATTTGGCAGTAGACCAAGAGTAAGTTCAGAGTGGGGTGGTGGGGAAATATGTGGGGGTGAGCAGGGGTGTACACACATGCACAAATAGAAATATACACAGAGAGATAAATATTGAAAACAGTCAAATTTGTAAGAAGTAGCAAAGTTGGGGGGACTGAGTTTCTGCCTTTGAGTTTCTACTTTTCTTTTTAGGGGGAAATATTCTGTCTTTTTAGTATATCCTAAAATATTTCATTTTCCTAGGAGAGGGGTAGGTTTTAACTTCCAACAGAAGTATTAATAAATACAGTATATGAATATATGTTTTTTTAAAAGTTAAAATGCATCCTGTAGGATCCTTGTGTATAATTTAGTGGCCCTGTTTCTGAGTTTGACAGCATTGGTCTACACAGGATCCAGCACTTTTATCAAAACAACATAGGCAGTGTTCCAAGCTCTGCCCCTTTATATATCACAATGCACACATAAAAAGAAGGGAGCTCATATCACATTAGTGCTTTTGTCACTGCATCCCCTGTTCCCCTACAGGTTTGAGCCATCGGTACCTTATCAGAAGCTCAAAGTGCCCAGGACAGCAACTCTTTCAGGTCCACAAAACAGCCAGTGTTTATGCTTTAGAGGGTCTAGTATGAATGAACCTAAAACAGAATGCAAAGACAGCAGGGGAATTAGAAATACTCACACCAGCCTGAAATATTCAGTGGATGTGAGCTAATCCTGCCTACGCCATTGACTTGGAAGTATGTCTAGTTTTATACATATTGATATACATGTCAATATTATGGGATGCAGCGGAAAAAAGAACTAACATATTTGTGCTATGATTAGGTCCAAGTGGGGAAAGTCCATCATCATATATGAGCATAAACTGTAATAGCAATAGCACTTAAACTTATATGCCACTTCACAGGGATTTATAGGCTTCTCTAAGCAGAGTCAGCTTATTGCCCCCAACATTCTGGGTTCTCATTATATCAACCTTGGAAGGATGGAAGGCTGACTCAACCATGAGCCAGTGAGAATCGAACTGCTGGTAATCAGAATTAGCCTGCTATACTGCTTTCTAACCACTGTTCCACCATGGCTCAATGTTCCTGAGCTCTTTAGCAAAAAGGCAACAATAGAATTAACTATTATATAGTTCCACTTATTTCAACATTGTCCAAGGACAGCTTCAAGGTATGCAAAATCTATA